TGACCCAAAGCACACATCAAAAAGCACTCAGAAATGGTTTAAAGACAAAGAGCTGGAGAGTACTGAACTGGCCAGCAATGAGTCCAGATCTCAATCCCATAGAATGCCTGTGGAAAGATCAGTTGGGAGTGGCAGTTGGGAAAAAGGAACCCTTCCAATCTGAGAGACCTGGAGCAGTTGGCAAAAGAGTAATCCAAAATTCCAGTAGAGAGGTGGAAGAAACTCATTGATGGTTACAGAAAAGGATTGATTTCAGTTATTTTTTCCAAGGGGTGTGCTACCAATAAATTGAGGGTGCCAAAAATTTTGTCCAGTCCATTTTAGGAGTTTTGCGTGGAGTGTGTCAGATTTGCCTCTTTGTTTCTCCACTTTGTGTTATACCAATACAAACAAAATAAATAAACATGAGAATGCCTAAACATTTGTAATTGCAACAATTTTCTGGGTGAAAATACAAAATCCAGTGAGATTAGTGGCAAACAGTGAAGGTGTTTATTAGTGTTATTTACAAAAGACTATATACAAAGTGTTGTACAGTGTTTACCCAAAATAAACAGGGTGGAAAAAAACATCAAACAAAAAAAAACCTAGCCATGTCCAAGGGCGGACTGACAAATCATTGGGCCCCCGGGCAATACGGGATCATGGGGCCCCTGTGTCCTTGCGAAAACTCAAAAAAGCCTATGAAAAAGGTACCAGGGGCATCTCATGGGGCCCCCTACTGACCCCGGGCCCTCGGGCACTGCCCGAGTTTCCAAATGGTCAGTCCGCCCCTGGCCATGTCTCGGCTCTCACTACACAGTTATGCAGGTCCTAACAACCAGACTGATCAAGCCTACCGCTTGTCAGCCACAACATTCAAGCTAGTTAGTTTCCACCAACCTTTCAGCTCTCCAGACAGAACTTGTCAGATCCCCAGGCCAAGAGCTCTGGCTACAGGTACCAGGTGGATTTAATTGCCCATGGAGAGAGAGGTAAACCCTGTACTGGACCTCATATCAAAGATCCCTAAAGGTATAGGTAAGGAACCTGGGAGATCTATAAGCCCCGAACAGGACTTTCCCAGGGTACTTTGGGATGCTCTGACACAATATATATATATATATATAGATAGATAGATAGATAGATAGATAGATAGATAGATAGATAGATAAAATCTTGCCACCTATGATGTGGTTTATGTGGCTGTTACTGCCCTGGTGACCACACAGATAGTGAAGAGATCACCCTAATGAGAACAGAGACAGCTATACAAATTTGCAAAAGGTTCTCACTTTTCTTCCACTCTACATTTCAAAAAGTTTAATTACTGTCTGTGCCCCCACTGGTTTTTCTCACTTCCTATCTTAGTGACCACATAGGACATTAGGGGAAGTAATTGCAATAGGTAAAAAAAATGGCTTCTATTGAAAACCTGAAAAAGGTGCAGCTGTATTCACCCATTAATCTGAGGTTGTCTTGTTTGTCAGCTCAGCCCATTGATATATAAGATTAATATGGGGAGAGATGGAATTTACATGTAACTTACATTGCCTTGACAAAGAGATAATCTATTGTTTCCAAAATGATTGATTACAAAAAATATTTGCAACATATCATGTAGATAGGATTGCCACCTCATCCCTTTAAAACTGAACACCTTAATTTGCCACAGAACCTGTGTAAATAATATGTGTTTGTTTTTAAAGGGATGAGGTGGCAACCCTACATGTAGAGCACCAATATTACTACAAATCTATACCACCTTCATTCCCTCTAATACATTGTTCCTGCAGATCTTATTTAAAGTTTTCACCCTCTACATTAAATAAGTCATTCATAGGTCCGTGTCTTCTGGGCTGTCTGCTGTAAGGTGTCACTATACGATTATCCCCAGTGTGAAGATGGTGTAGATTATCTCTTTCAGTAGCCTCATTCTTTGCCCTTCCTTCCGAGGTCTTTTCATATTATTAGATTCACACATTTTCCATTTGAACAAAAGATCTGCGAAATTGGATAAAAGATAGCAATCTTGTTTTATGATTGGAGTTGACACAAGGGTCACATCTCAGAGAGTTAAAAAAATAAGATCAACTGGTCTCTCAATTTTATCATTTCCACTGATGGCTATCAACACGTTTTTGCTACATTCTCCTTCATTCACTAAATTGCAAGGTGGTGGAACACAACTCAAACATATAAATCCTTGATTTGGTGTTATTACATATATTGCACCTTCATATGGAATCTACAGCTTCATAAAGAAAATACTTAACCAGTCCCAGAAGTCCATGCCTGCAAATTGAATCTAATGTCCCCAATATAGTCTTTACAAATACACACACATATAGTTTGATTGGGAACTAGTTATTTGCCTGTACTGTTCTGATTGTGGAAGTCTCCATTGGATGCCCACAAATAATTTTAGAGAGCATTCATTACACATGCAGGGGTGGTTGTGTTTAGTGCCCGCAAACAGTTTGCTGAAGATAAGCAGACTAAGGACATGAATTACTGGAACCATGTGTCAGGAGACAACTGACGGTAGCCTCTAGTGGCCCACAGGCTGGAGTCCCTCAGGGAGCGGAGTCTAAGCCTCAGTCTGCTGGTTCACCAGAGCCCCTGATGGTGGGGATGGACTTGAAGCAGCCTGAGACCAGTTCGCGAAACACCAGCTGTGGTAAGGCAGCGGCCAATAGCATATAGCAGGTAAGAGCCAGATGTGAAGAGGTATAACAAGGTCAGACAGGCCGGGTTCGTAACAGTGGAGCAGACAGTACAGAACGGCAGGTAATGAATAATCAGGTCACAAGCCGGGTTCAGCAACAGGAGGTCAGGCAATGGGATCAGGTAGAGAATGGTCAGGACGAGCCAAGGGTCAGAGCAGGAGAGGACAACAGTATCAGGATCAGGCTGGGTCGGCAACAAGGCAGTCAGAAGTACAGGGCAATCAGGAACACAGGAAAAAGACCATAAGGCGATTTGGAGATGCACAGGGCTGGTTTAAATAGGGCGTCCTGTGCTCTCATTGGTGACAGGCGCGCGTTCACGATTGTGAGTGTGCATGCGTGGCCGCCGCCGCGATCGCCTAAGTCTCAGTGCTCGCCGGCTAGTGCGTGTCAGCGATCTGTGCATGCACGCACCTCCGAGCGGCCGGGATCCCGGACACCATGTCCTGTGGTCTGAGAACACCAAGATAAACTGATTTGGTTCAGATGGTGCCAAGCATGTGTGGCGGCAACCAGGTGAGGAGTACAAAGACAAGTGTGTCTTGCCTACAGTCAAGCATGGTGGTGGGAGTGTCATGGTCTGGGGATGCATGAATACTGCCGGCACTTGGGAGCTACAGTTCATTTATGGAACCATGAATGCCAACATGTACTGTGACATACTGAAGCAGAGCATGATCCCCTCCCTTTGGAGACTGGGCCGCAGGGCAGTATTGCAACATGATAACGACCCCAAACACACCTCCAAGATGACCACTGCCTTGCTAAAGAAGCTGAGGGTAAAGGTGATGGACTGGTCAAGCATGTCTCCAGACCTAAACCCTATTGAACATCTGTGGGGCATCCTCAAATGGAAGGTGGAGGAGCGCAAGGTCTCTAACATCCACCAGCTCCGTGGTGTCATCATGGAGGAATGGAAGAGGACTCCAGTGGCAACCTGTGAAGCTCTGGTGAACTCTTAACCCAAGAGGGTTAAGGCAGTGCTGGAAAATAATGGTGGCCTTCACAAAACATTGACACTTTGGGCCCAATTTGGACATTTTCACTTAGGGGTGTACTCACTTTTGTTGCAGGCGGTTTAGACATTAATGGCTATGTGTTGAGTTATTTTGAGGGGACAGAAAATTTACACTGTTATACAAGCTGTACACTCACTACTTTACATTGTAGCAAAGTTTCTTCAGTGTTTGTCACATGGAAAGATATAATAAAATAATTACAAAAATGTGAGGGGTGTACTCACTTCTGTGAGATACTGTATATGTAAGCACTGCATAAATTTACGGAGCTATATAAGTCCCTGAAACAAATAAATAAATACAATCAAGACTGTTCCTCAGTTAAATCATATGGTGCCAACATACAGAAAATGCTTTTTTGCCTATATTGTTCTTATTATCTAATAAAAACAAACTTAAAGGGGATCCTTCAGCAAAAATGCAAGATCCGATTTTTACATCGGCCTTCTTCCCCTTGCTGAAAAGCAGCATAAATTAAAAAAAAACTGTGTGGGGGGGGGGGGGGGTGGAATTAGATAATATACTAACCTTTCCCCCAGCTTCAAACCACTGCATCTGGACAAGGGTGACATCATCCCCTTCTGTCAAGGTCTGGGGAAGGCTTTGAAGTTGCAGTTTCTTTCTAAGAGTTTGGAAATGCTCACCATTCCCTGGAGTCTTGTAGGCCAGAGAATAAAGTCATCCCCTTCACCATGAAAGTCAGAGGAGAGATAAATATATTATCTATCCCCTCCACCGCCACACTCCGAATACACACATATACACACACACACACACGCATTTTTTTTTTTTAACATGCTGCTTTTCAGTCAGGGCTGGTACACTTTAATTTATACCACAGAAATCAATTATAAACTAAACATTGTCAGAACATTTGTTATATCATTTTTCTACATTTTCAAGGTTGCCTATAAGGAGGAATTATAGATGTCCTATGTAATAGTGAGCATCATTATTATTGGTACTCTTTGTGCTGAAAATAGAGGACAATAAATTGTGCAAGTATTACTGTGTAATGAGGCAACAAGTGAAGATATATGGCATGTCCATTCTTGGCAGCAGAGTGCAGACAACCTTTATTACTATTACAATTTCAGTATATGAATATTCTTCCCCTGAGGATTTAATACAGTATATGAAATTTCAACATGTCTTATGTATCATTTGCTATTGCTTTTTAGACTGGAATATGTAATACACTGGCACAATATAAATAAAAGATTGTGATAATCATGGTTAATGATGATAATAATTCATTGTTTCTTTTAAACAGATGCCTGAGAAGATTGTCAGTGAATGCTACAACTCTGGGTCAAGTTTCCTCATTCTCTTTACTGATGGAACTGGGCAAGTTCTGTATCCACCAATATGTGTTGTGCTCAGATTATACTGACTATATGATACTTACAAATGTTTATCCATTTATGAAAGGGACAATTCTAAAACTTAGGTAGGTTACTGATTGTCTGTTTTTGGTACTATTTCATTTAAAATACATAATAGGAGATCATCTAGTTTTTGTACATACAGTAGGTATGTGTCATCAAGGAATTCAATTTACATTCGAAAATATGATTATTATAGCCAAATTGGATAGAGCAGAAAAATTGGGTACAAAATCTCTGACATATGTGATACCCACTGTATGGAAAAAACACTGTAAAGAAAAAAGAGATCACGGAGACATAAAAGGAATGGAAGTCTCGAAGAGTGTGGCATGTTCTGCCACCATGTCTTTCCAACCCCATTCAACGTTATCTAAGTTATTAATGGATATAAACGAAATCAGACTGGATGTTTTATTTATATATATATATATATATATACAGTTGCAAGAAAAAGTATGTGAACCCCTTGGGATTACGTGGAGTTTTGCATGAATTGGGCATAAAATGTGCTCTGAATGTCATCTAAGTCACAACAATAGAAGAGCACAGTCTGCTGAACATAATACTACACAAACATTAGATGTTGCCATGGTTTAATTGCACATAACATGTAAACATTCACAGTGCAGGGAGGAAAAAGTATGTGAGGCCCTAGCTTAATGACTTCTCCCAGAGCTAATTGGAGCCAGGAGTGAGTCAACCTTGACTCCAATCAGTGTGATGATATTGGATGTGTTGCTGACAGCTGTCCTGCCCTTAAAAAACACACACCTGTTTTGGGTTTACTGGTTTCAAGAAGCACTGTCTGATGTGAACCATGCCTCGCAGAAAAGAGCTCTCAGAAGACCTACCATCAAGAATTGTTGACTTGCATGAAGCTGGAAAGGGTTACAAAAGTATCTCCAAAAGCCTTGATGTTCATGTGTCCACGGTAAGACAGACTGTCTACAAATGGAGAAAGTTTAGCACTATTGCTACACTCCCTAAGCAGGAACGTCCTGTAAAAATGACTGCAAGAGCACAGCGCAGAATGCTGCATGAGGTAAAGAAGAATCCCAGAGTGTCAGCTAAAGACCTACAGAAATCTCTGGCACATGCTAACATTTTCGTTGACACATCTACAATAAGGAAAACATTAAACAAGAATGGAGTACATGGGAGGACACCACGGAGGAAGCCATTGCTGTCCAAAAAGAATATTGCAGCACGTTTGAAGTTTGCAAAAGAGCACCTGGATGTTCCACAGCACTACTGGCAAAATATACTGTGGACAGATGAAACCAAGATTGAGTTGTTTGGGAAGAACACACAACACTATGTGTGGAGAAAAAAAGGCACAGCACACCAACATCAAAACCTCATCCCCACTGTAAAACATGGCGGAGGGAGCATCATGGTTTGGGGCTGCTTTGCTGCCTCAGGGCCTGGACGGATTGTTGTCATTGATGGGAAAATGAATTCCAGAGTTTATCAAGACATTTTGCAGGGAAACGTACGACCATCTGTCCGCCAACTGAAGCTCCGCAGAGGATGGGTGATGCAACAGGACAATGACCCAAAGCATACAAGTAATTCAACAAAACAATGGCTGCAACAGCACAGAATACGCCTTTTGGAGTGGCCCAGTCAGAGTCCTGACCTAAACCCGATTGAAATGCTGTGGCATGACCTTAAGAGAGCGATTCACACCAGACATCCCAAGAATATTGCTACACTGAAACAGTTTTGTGAAGAGGAGTGGTCCAAAATGACTCCAGATCGTTGTGCAGGTCTGATCTGCAACTACAGGAAACGTTTGGTTGAGGTTATTGCTGCCAAAAGAGGGTCAACCAGTTATTAAGTCCAAAGGTTTACATACTTTTTCCTCCCTGCACTGTGAATGTTTACATGTTATGTGCAATTAAACCATGGCAACATCTAATGTTTGTGTAGTATTATGTTCAGCAGACTTTGTTCTTCTATTGTTGTGACTTAGATGACGTTCAGAGCACATTTTATGCCCAATTCATGCAAAACTCCACGTAATCCCAAGGGGTTCACATACTTTTTCTTGCAACTGTATATATATATATATATATATATATATATATATATATATATATTTACACACTATATTGCCAAAAGTATTGGGACGCCTGCCTTTACACGCACGTGAACTTTAATGTCATCCCAGTCTTAGTCCGTAGGGTTCAATAATGAGTTGGCCCACCCTTTGCAGCTATAACAGCTTCAACTCTTCTGGGAGAACCATCCACAAGGTTTAGGAGTATGTCTATAGAAATGTTTGACCATTCTTCCAGAAGTACACTTGTGAGGTCAGGCACTGATGTCAGACGAGAAGACCTGGCTCGTAGTCTCTGCTCTAATTCATCCCAAAGGTGTTCTATTATGTTGAGGTCAGGGCTCTGTGCAGGCCAGTCAAATTCCTTCACCCCAAACTCGCTCCTCCATGTTTTTATGGACTTTGCTTTGTACACTGGTACACAGTCATGTTGGAATGGAAAGGGGCCATCCCCAAACTGTTCCCACAAAGTTGGGAGCATGAAATTGTCCAAAATTTCTTGGTATGCTGACGTCTTAAGAATTCTCTTCACTGGAACTAAGGGGCCAAGCCCAACTCCCTGAAAAGCAACCTCACACCATAATCATCCCTCCACCAAACTTTACACTTGGCATAATGCAGTCAGGCAAGTACCGTTCTCCTGGCATCTGCCAAACACAGACACATCCATCAGATTGCCAGACAGAGAAGCATGATTCATCACTCAAGAGAACACGTCTCCACTGCTTTAGAGTCCAGTGGCAGCATGCTTTACACCACTGCATCTGACGCTTTGCATTGCGCTTGGTGATATGAATGCTTGAATGCAGCTGCTCGGCCATGGAAACCCATTCCATGAAGCTTTCTACGCACTGCTAATCTGAAGGCCACATGAAGTTTGAAGGTCTTTAGCTATTGACTCTGCAGACAGTTGGAGACTTCTGCACACTGTGCGCTTCAGTATGCGCTGACCCTGCTCTCTTATTTTACGTGGCCTACCTACTTCGTGGCTGAGTTGCTATTGTTTCCAGTTGCTTCCACTTTGTTATAATACCACTAACATTTGATCATGGTATATTTAGTAGCAAGGAAATTTCACGGATAGACTTAACGCCCAGGTGGCAACTTATCATGGTACCATGCTTGAATTCACAGAGTCACAGAGTCCCTGAGAGCGACCCATTCATCTGCATGCCTAGGTGCTTGATTTTATTCACCTGTGGCCATGGAGGTGATTGGAACACCTGAATCCAATGATTTGGAGGGGTGTCCCAATACTTTTGACAATATAGTGTACATATATATATATATATATATATATATATATATATATATACTGTGTGTATGTATATATATATATATATATATACACTTTATGTGTGTAATTTCAAAGGAACATGCAGTGGTCCTAGAGGTTTCGCTTGATGAATTGTGCATCATTTCCTGGGCCCAAACAGAGATACTTCTGCAGAAGGATTCTATAGAATACCAATAGTTGTTGATAAACTGAAGTAGCCAAAAGGACAATTGTTGGCCAAAAAGAGCCTGCATCCAGTCAGATGCAGGCACTGCTCAGGTATTTTGACAGCAAGTCAAAATACAAAAGCTGCAGCTGGAGATTTGTCCATCTGTACTGTTTTGCATGGATGGAGGAATCTTAGAAATGTTTCATGCAACCCACATGGTGAATAAACAAAATCTATCTGTGTATGGCCAGCTTTAATCTCTCTCCCATTAGGCAGGCCCCACTGCACAAGTTTAGCTGCAGCAGCAGTTAAGCTCTTAACCACCTGCCTACTGGGCACTTATACCCCCTTCCTTACCAGGCCAATTCTCATCTTTCAGCGCTGCCTCACTTTGAATGAAAGTGAGACACAAATAGAGCTTTCTTTTGGTGGTATTTACTTGCCGCTGGGGGTTTAATTTTTGCGATGTAAACAAAAATAGAGCAAAAAATTTGAAAAAAAAGGTTTCTTTGTTTCTATTATAAAATTTTGCAAACAGGTAATTTTTCTCCTTTACTGATGTGCGTTGATGATGCTGCACTGATAGGCAGCACTGATGGGCACTGATAGGCAGCACTGAAGGGCACTGATAGGTGGCACTGATATGCAGCACTAATGAGGTGGCACGGATAGGCGGCACTGATAGGTGGACCTGATAGGCGGCACCGATGATGGGTACTGATAGTCAGCACTGATAGGCAGCACTGCTGTGCACTGACTGGTGGCACTGCTGGGCACTGACTGACAGCACTGCTGGGCTGCACTGATGGGCACTGGTGGGTGGCACTGGGCACAGGTGGGTGGCACTGATGGGCACAGGTGGGTGGCACCGATGGGCAGAGTTGGGTGACACAGGTGGGTGGTGCTGATCGTTCACAAAGCAGCTACACTCTGCATGGTTCTTTAGGGCTCGTTCACAAAAGGAGGGGCATCTGAGCGTGCGCACTTTTTTGTAAGTTCCCACAAGTCATGTTTTAGGGCAGCCCATTCATTTCAATGGGCTACCTTATTTGTGAAACATGCAAAAAAGGTGCCAGCATGATTTTTTAATCGAGGCGCACCAAAACACATGGTAAGGCGGTACCATGCATTTTGGCAGGAGCAAACGCATGCGCATTTCTTGGATGCATAGGGGTGCCACTAAGAATGGCCATGTGTCTGTAAAAAAGGCAGCACATTTTCGTGCATTGCGGGAAAATGTGTGATTTTGCAAATGTTCCTTCGCGGTACCAGATGTGAACAAGCCGTTACTGCAATCATTTTGGTGAAACAGAAGATGCAAGGAGCCAATTTGTGGCAATAAAATTCCTGTATTTACATATACACATTTTAAAAATGAAAATATTCAGCAGTAGCACCATAACAGCTATTTCCTGTTAGATTTTATTGTGTCTTGAGTTCAGTTTTGTAGCAGACAGGAAA